CCACCACCACCACTACCACAACCACCTCCACCGCCACCGCTACCACGATCATTGTCACCCACCATAACCTTTGCCGTCTCCTACCACCACCATTGTCGTCCATCACTTCTCACTCCCACTACAACCGATGATTAAATTCATTTATATTTCCTCTATTTTTGTGATTTGATTTTAGATATGAATATAAATATATTTGTTGTTTACCATTTTTTATTACTTTGTGCATATATATATTGGCACTAAAAAAAATAATTTTGGGCTAATAGTTTTTAAGTGGCGGAAACATACGTTTTAGTGACAAAAGTTTACAATATTAGTGGTGACAAATTTTGTTGCTATTGGGAGTAATTCAATGATGGTATAGAATCGTCACAAAATGTCTAGATTATTTGTGACAACTTGTATAGCTTGTCACTATTAACTTTTAGTGACACATCTATAGTGACAACCCGTGGCAATTTTTTTTCCACAACCAATTACTTTTGTGACAAATTTTAGAGTTCAAGTGACGACTTTTATTGCCACTAAAGCTGTTGTTTTTTGTAGCTCTAGTTCTGGCGTAACAACCTGTCTTTGACTGGACCAGAGATAAGATTAGTCAAGATGTACGTNAGTATGCACCCATGTATTAGTTGCTCACACTAATCATATGTGGATTATTGATAAAAGAGCAACCAAACACATAGCTCGAGATCGAGTAGGGTTTGTAGATTATCGCTACATTCCAGCTGGCACCCAGAGAGTCTAAATGGGAAGTGGCACTAGTTAGGAAGTACTTGGAGTTGGTTCGTATTAGCTCTCATTGTGCACTGAGTGCACATTGCTTCTACATGATGTCTTTTATGCGCTTGGAGTATAGTATAATCTATTTTCAATTTTATCACTTCTAGCTTTAGGGCACTCTTTTAATTTTGATGGAGANCAGATTCTTTTCCTATATATATTCTTGTTGACCTATGACTATGTCATGAAAAGGATGCTCAATGTTGCTACTTTAGCATGTACCCTAGGATTAGGATTATGATTGATGCGGTCTCATGAGGCATGACAAGGAAAAAAATTGAGTCTAGTTGGATTGGCATGAGGGCTAGGGAAGATAATTCGATGATACACCATGTTTTGTAACTCATTGCCNCCGCTAAAATCAACCTAACTATATGCAAGCCTTGTTTGGCTAGTAAAACATGTAGAAAGCCTTTTGCCGAGGCTATTAGAGCTACTCAACCACTAGAGCTAATCCATTTTGATATTTATGAACCAATAAATGTGAAGGCACGTCATGACACCTCTTATTTCCTTACCCTGANAGTGCTATATCAGGTGTAATTGATTGGTCTAGGGTAGTACGAGATGCTTCCGAGTGATGTACTGTGTTAGTTTAGTGATAACTTAACATAGTACTCCTCTTATTTGCATATGCTTCTCATGAGGTCGCATGATCCATTTCCTGTATGAGGAGATGAGTGAAAGAGAGATTTTTAAGAGACGACTTCCCTACGTGGGCGAGGCAAGTGGGAGATGTTAGTATTTTATGAGTCGGTATTTGGATCAGAACTCAAACCTTGATCTGTCCACATGGGGCATCTAGGCTTGACCCAGTCATTGGTGGTTGGTTAGGAATATGTCCCTATATCCTAATCAGTTTNGAGCATGGACATATTCCCCATCGTCATTTTGAGATTAAAGGGGATGTTTTCATGTGTTCAATGATCGATGAGGAAGAGTCTACTACCATTAAGGAAACAATTTATTCATTTATTGGGAAAGAGTGGTCAGCTGCTACGATTGATAAGATAAGCTTAATGGCTCAGAATAAGGTCTGGGAGTTAGTTGACCTTTTGCTTGGGCGTAAGACCATTGGAAACAAATGGGTCTTAAAAATTAAACACAAGACAGATGGTTTAATGGACAAGTATAAGACACGTCTTGTGGGGAACGATTATACCCAAAAAGAATGCATAGACTATGAAGAGACATTTTCCCCAATGGTGAGATTTGCCTCTATTTGCCTAATTCTAGCTATTGTTGTACAACAGGATTTACAAAATTTTCAAATGGATGTTAAGACTGCAATTCTCAATGGAGAACTAGATAAAAAGATCTATATGGATCAACCGGATGGCTTTGAGGTAAAAGGACAAGAACACAAAGTTTGCCGACTCAAACGTTCTATTTATGACCTTAAGTAATCAACTAGGCAGTGGTATTTAGGTTTCATCGCTCAATCAACTCTATTGGTTTTGAGGGGATTGAAGAAGACCATTGGATATATGTCAAACGATCTAAGAAAAACGTTCTTACCCTTACATTGAATGTTGATGACATCCTTTTAACTAGGAATGATATGGAGACCATTGTCACCACTAAAGAGTGGTTGTTCTCTACTTTTGAAATGAAGGACATAGGTAAGGCAAGCTATGTGCTTGGAGTTGAGATAGTGCAAGATCGTTCGAGGAGATCTCTCGATTTGTCACAAGATGCTTACATTAAAAAGTTCCTTTTGCGTTTTCACATGCATAACTTAAAACCCATAGACACTCCAATTGAGAACCNGTTCTCTACTTTTGAAATGAAGGACATAGGTAAGGCAAGCTATGTGCTTGGATTTGAGATAGTGCAAGATCGTTCGAGGAGATCTCTCGATTTATCACAAGATGCTTACATTAAAAAGTTCCTTTTGCGTTTTCACATGCATAACTTAAAACCCATAGACACTCCAATTGAGAACCTATATGCCTTAAGCCTAGACTAATGACCTAAGACAAATAAGGAAAGGTATCAAATGTCCAGAGTGCCTTATGATGCTACAACAGAAAGTTTGATGTACTCTACGTTTGTACTCAACTCGGCATCTACTTCGCAGTTGGAATGGTCAATCACTATCAGATTACTCTTGGACCCGCTCATTGGAAATAGGTAAATAGGATTCTTTGATACCTTTGTGGGATTGTTGACCTCGTCTTATACTATCATGGNTATCAGATTACTCTTGGACCCGCTCATTGGAAATAGGAAAATAGGATTCTTTGATACCTTTGTGGGATTGTTGACCTCGTCTTATACTATCATGGTGGAGATCTTAGATTGAGAGGTTACAATGATGCGGATTGGGATAGTGACAAAGATGAGCATAAATCCACGTTGGCTTATGCATTCACCGTAGGAGGTTGAATTATTTCATGGAGAAGTAAAAAACAAACTTGTATTGCCCTGTCCACGATGGAGTTAAAGTATATGGCTTGTTCAACANGGTGGAGATCTTAGATTGAGGTGTTACAATGATGCTGATTGGGATAGTGACAAAGATGAGCATAAATCCACGTTGGCTTATGCATTCACCGTAGGAGGTTGAATTATTTCATGGAGAAGTAAAAAACAAACTTGTATTGCCCTGTCCACGATGGAGTTAAAGTATATGGCTTGTTCAACAGTTGTCCAGGAAGTTTTTTGGTTGAGGAGATTCCTTTCGAGATTGGATATTACATTCCACACAAACTTCGTATATTGTGATAGCACATCCACTTTGGCGTATGTGAGGGATCCCAAGTATCATGGAAAAACAAAACACATTGATGTTCATTATCACAATATTAGAGATATGGTTGCCCAATGGGAGGTGGTCCTAAAACATATCTCCACTGGAAATATGGTAGTTGATCCATTGACTAAGCCCATTGCCAGAGATGTGTTTTACATTAGGAGCATGAGACTTCGTAGGATTTGATATGTTTGGACTGCATTCCTTATATGATTTCTTCTTGGAATGGTTGTTGCATTATGTAACTACACATCTTTATATCAAAGGTTTCACTAGGCTGGAATCGACCAATTCACACGGATGATTCGCCTTGGCGCTGAGAAAGTGAGCAAGATGAGACATTTATATCTTTGGCGCCTGAGAGGTGAGAAAGATAAACACAACACATCATTGTTATATGTTGCCCTAGTTAGAATTAACATGAAACCTTATTAGGTTGATCAANAGGATCAAGCGCAGGGGCAATGGTAGGAGTAGACATGTGCCTTTCATCTTGCATCTGCTTCATCAGTGCTTCCAAAATCTCATTTGTTGCATTTTGGGTTGCCCTCTATATCTACTCCATTAGTGCTTTCAAAATCTCATTTTTTGCCTTTTGGGTTGCCTTAATCACTTCCATGTCCCTTTGTTGAGCATTGATTTTTACTTCCAACTCATTGACCCTTTTGTTAGCTGCCTCCAACTCTGATCTATTATGCTGCTTGGATAAGGAATGACTAGGCTTTGGACCATCCCCACGGCCACGTATGTACCCTTACTTGTGTCCAAGAACCTCTAAGCAAATTTTCTCCTCACAAACTGGTGCTTCATCCTCTCCTACGAGTTGTGGTTGAAGCTCCACCATTTGTTCCTAAAGTGGCAAGGCATATAAATTTTAAATTACATTAGTTCATTAATGTGATGATAAATGAAAATTTTAACCGAATTGATAACTTACATAGTTATGATGTGTACAGTCATTCACTCAAGATTGTTTCTTATTACTATAGTGAGTTATCCTATATAACTCAATTGGTCTAAGCAGTTTAAATCAATTCAAATATGTGAATTAGTTTTTAAAGCATGTCACTAGCTACGTATATCATACACTCTATAATTGAGAATTATGTTGCTACCATTTCAATACCCATCCAGGCAAAAGGCTTTGTCCTAGTTACGTGAGGTGTATTTTGCATTGCCAGATTCCATGCATTTTGAGCACTCATTTTCTACATTAAAATAGAACAAGTATCTTACATTAGAAATAATTTAAATGAATAAATGAAAAATTGATTTTGTTTAGTATCTATAGTAAGTTCAAAAACCTTAAATTCATCAGAAGAAAAGTAAGAACAAAGATAATTCCAATCTTCCTGTGGCACACCTGGTGGTGGATGTTGCATTGCTACTTCTATCGTGGGGGTGTGGTAAGAAGTAATTCTTGTGTAGCATATGACGATTATTCCTATATTGTGTGTTCATTTTGGCAAATGTTATATCTTTAACATGTCCATCATGGAGATTGAATGATTCCTACAAAAAAGTGGTGAATGGTTTACATTATTAACAATGAAGGCATTGTGAGAAATAAAGTAACAACAATTTGAATTACAAAACAAAAAATAGGTGACTTTGTTTGCAAAAAAAACCAGAAACCCCTTTTATTAACTTTTTTTTTACTATTCCTCTAATTTCCTTTATTTTCTCATACTTGCAACATCCCCTAAATTTTGCATGATTTCATATCCTTCAAATTTTTGTTTTGCTATCAATTAGTAATGAGGCAATGCTTAAAAAGATGCATTGTGATGCCCCAACAAAAGTTTTGTTACTTGCTTAGTTTGTGCTTCAGTTCTTAATAATGGGAGAGTTCATGTAAGGGGTAGTTCTATTCCAACCTATATTCAGCTCAATACACTCCTTTGGAGTAAACAATTGTCTTATCGTTTGCTCAATGACCTTTTTGGCTAACATGCATTTCTCTGGTAGAATTTGTTACACTTACTCTTTGTCTCAATACATTAAAATACAGCCTAGTTTACATGTTCGAGTCCTTGTAAAAGTGCTTACCTTAGCCATTTGTACTAAACTGTCCCCATTGTCTTTGTCAATCTTTGCCCATTTTGTCATTTGAAGAGGTGCATGCTTTCGAATAATACACCCCAACTTTGTTATAAGTGCTTGGCATTCCAATCCTACTATTTGCCCAAGCTCTTCAGGCATCTCGACATTAAGCTTCTCACTGGCTTGCTTTTTTTTGGCAAGCACAATTTCTGGTCAGTCCCCGTTTCCTCCTCGTTAAGGATGACTTTGAAAGATAAAGTGTGAACAATATTGGAAGATGATTTTGTTGACAACCTAGTTTTTTGATAAAATTAAAACATCAGGGCAATTTAAGAAAAAATTAAAAATGCAGCTTCTACAAGTCAATATTTAACATAATTCCATTAAACAAACATACCAACATTATGTTCGACATGTCCCTCTGAAAAAGGAACAATATGCACACTCATAGAACAATGAGACTCTCGTGCGAGTGACAATGTACTACCATTAGCACTAGCCTGGAAGTAGCAATGATAATAGTCCTCCACCACGCCTAGCAATTCCTTGTTTCCCCAATCCGGCCATCTGTGTGCAATGAAGCAACAAAATAATACAACAAATGAATATCAACTACATAAATACAAATGGTTGTGCACATATATGTGTGTATATAATGGAAATAAAAGTAGTGCAACAATGTAAAATTTTCCTAGTATAAAGCGAATTAAACTGAAACCTTACCTTTGGTTAGAGTCGCATTCGTTATTAATAAATTTATCATCTTTTTCAATATCATCACTATAGGAATCTTCCTCGATATCACTATAACTAATGAAGTTGTCATTTTCTTCATCTAAATTTTCCATTGGTTGGTCACACAATATATTATCTACATCAGTACATCCTAATGGGATCATATCATCTCTTTCTAAAGATGGCATTTCATCAATTTCCATTGAATCAAAAACCTCATCAAGAACATGTTCTTGGTAAGGCTCCTCACCAGAAATCGATTGTTTTTCAAACTAGTTAAGAACATCAAAAGACCCGTGAGGTTGAGTTCTATCTACAATGCTAACTTCAAATCTTCAATATAAAAAACTTGTTTTGCTTGAGAGGCAAACACAAATGGTTGGTCCTTATACCAAGTTTGTGATACATTTAACTAGTAATCTTCCAATCCTTATCTATTTAGATACATGTACTATCCTTTACATCCCACCTGTAGGATAAATTTGAGGGTGCACAATATTTTCATTTGGAGTATTACAACTTATGAATAGGTTCTTACTTGCAATTATGAAATGGCTTGGGGGCAATTTACTGAGTACATTTTTGTCCGTCATGAAGTTTGATTTAGATCTTCTCATGATTATGGAAGGAGCAAAGACTAACAGTTTATAGTTAATTTTTTATTTTGTTGCTCGAGGAAATCTTTTTTTTAATGCTTTTTTTTGAAGTATTCGTCAAATTGTTTAAAATTTTATGATAATTCCATAAATTTTTGATTTGATAATCAAACTATGATTGGATTTTGATTTGTTTCGAATGATATTAAAAGATTACGATATTTTAATAACAGGTCAATTTTATACCAGGTTTATGAAAGTTGTTGCGAATTGTTTTGTGAGTGACAACCACTAAAGTCTACACTATAGAGTTTTTTAGTAATTGTTATAAAATTTGTTACAAAAATACTTTGAAATTTTATAGTGACAATAGAAAATATGGTCACTGAACAAAGTCTTTAGTTATGATTATAAAATTGGTCACTAAAAGTAAACAAAATTTGTTAGTGGCAATCAAAACATTGTCATTATCACTGATAATTTAGTGGCAATAGAACTTTATCCTAATTAGGGACAAAAATTTGAAATTGTCACTAAATATACTAGTGACAACAAAAATTCCGTCACTAATGATTGAGGGATATTAATTAGTGTCAATATATTTGAACACTACCGATGAGTTTTTGGTCTAATGGTACTCATTGCTGTATGAAAGCTTTACCTTCTTGAGGTTAAGAGTTTAAATTTCTCCTCCCCCATTTCCCAATAATAATAATAATAATAATAATAATAATAATAATAATAATAATAAAGTAACTTACAATTTAAATTTTAAAATATAAACAAAATAAATTTTGGTTTTCATGGTTCAAATCGCTTTAAATTTACTTTAAAGGTGATCTAATGATTAATATTAACACCCCAAATTTAATAGAAAAATAGGTCCCTAAGGGTTTGTTTGGGATGATTTTTTAAAAATACTTTTACGAATTATTTCTCATAAGTACTTAAAAAAAATAGCGTTTCAAACCACCCCACCACTACCTCTACCACCACCACCGATGCCGCCGCCACCATCATCGCCACGGCAGCCACCACCATTGCCTCCGTCGCTACCACCACCATTGCCTCCGTCGCTACCACCACCATTGCCTCCGTCGCTACCACCACCGTCTCCACCACCACCACCACCACCATCGCCACCGCCATTGTTGTCATTGTCGCTGCCACCACAACCACCACTATAGCCACC